TTACTGCCATCTTGCTGGCTTTCCTTGGGATACCTCTTCCTCTTTTTGAGGCTCAAGGAGCTTCTCTTTTTCTTCTTCTTCGTCACGCTCTCCTTGGCGACCTGCCTGGATGACGAAGATGACCGTCTCTTCGAGTCATTCTCTATGTACTCTTCGTCGTCGTCATTTTCCTGGGACTCATCCAGGTCGGTGTCGTCATCCTGCTCACCCACGTCATCCTCGTCACCCCCATCACCCTTATCATCCTCGTCTTCTTCTTCCTCCTGATCCTCCTCCATATCATCATCATTCTCCGTTTCATCCATTTGGCTGTCTCCTTTCTCATCATTCTCAGCATCATCCATTTCGCTCTCCCCCTCCTCGGTGGCTTCCTCCTCTTCTTTACCCTTCGCACTTTTACTTCTATCCCTGCTGCTGCTCTTCGTGCTGCTCTTGCTCTTACTCGATTTCGAGTCTCCTAGACGATCCTTTTTCGAGCTGCTCTTATTGTTGTCCTCCTTTTTCTTCTGATCCGAGGAACCCTTCTTCGAGATATCCTTCTTATTTGCCGTTTCAGCTGCTCCCGATTTGCTTCCTTTGGAGAGGTTATTCTTCACAGTGTCCTTTTCCCTGCTGACTGAGCCGCTTTTCTTCTTCGAGCTTCTCTGCTCAGGCGTCTCACTGTCGCTTTCGCTGACGCTGTTGGTGCTCTTCTCATTGTCTGCTTTTTCGGACTTTTCCGATTTTACCTTTTTCTTGGTTTGTGCGACGCTTCGACTCGCCCTGGAGCCCTCCTCCTTCGAACTAGCTGTGTTGGTACTCATCAACTCGCCCACATCTTCGCTGCTCTTTTGGGCTGCTTTGCTGTTGGATGGCGACGATGCCGTTGGAGCTTTTTTCTCCTTCTTAACACTCTCGCTCTTTAGGGTTTCCTGACTAGCGTTCTTGGAAAGGCTTTTTGTTGAGCTACTTCTAAGCCCTTCATTCTTAGACACGGTGTTCTTGGACGAGCTGCTTTTTATGGAATCATTCCTCGAAAGGGAATTCTTCGAACCGCCACCTTTGGAAGGCTCATTTTTGGGGGGTCCACTCTTGGAGGAGCTACTTTTGGGGGGGGCACTTTTTGATGGCTCATTTTTTGAGGAGCCACTTTTTGACGGGGTGCTCTTCGAAGCGTCATTCTTTGCTGATCCGCTCTTCGAGGGGTCACTTTTGGAGGAACCTCCCTTGGATGAGCCATTCTTTGCTGAGCCGCTCTTGCTGCCGGCGATGGCCTGACTTTTTATGCCCTCCTTCGCGACGGATGAATGAACGCTCATTTTGCTCTTCTCATCACCACCTTTGTTAGAAGTGCTGCTGCTATGATTGATGCAGGTGCCACTGTTACTGTTCACATTTTTGGATTTGCTATTTTTAGAAATTAATTTATCCTTCATTTTAACTTCGTTCTCGTCGTTCGAGGGATGTTTCTTTTTTTTATCACCGCTGGAATGAGAGGATTTATCCTTTTTGCCGTCCTCTGTGCCACCTCCAACACTGCAACTTCCTCCCTTTTCACTCTTGCTCTTATTCGATTTGACGCTTTCCCTCGAATTAGAACTCGTATGCTTCAACGACTCGCTTGTGCTGCTTTTAGAACTTTTAACATTTTTAAGGTCTTCCCTTTTCTCGTTGGTCTTCGATTTGTAATTTTTGGATGTGCTATTGGAGGAGTAGCTTTTACTCTTCCCCTGATCATGGTTCTTTTCGCTTCCGTGGCTGACATTCGTGTTTCCTCCCTGGTCGGTGCTCTTCTGGCCGCCTTTCTCGCTTTTCTTCTTGGAGACGCTCTCCGCGCGGCTGTGAGCCGCTTCACCGTAGTTATTCCAACTACTTCCACCGCTGCCGGCACTTTTTTTCTTCTCAGAACTTGGGGTGGTCGGCTTGCCGCTACTTTTGCTCTTCACGCTTGAGTCGTTGGAGCTCCTTCTCTCTTCGTTCTTCATTATGTTCATAGTACCTCTAAACACATCCTTATTTTTCGATTTCGGGTTTTTCTCGACTCCTAGTCGTGCTTCCAGTGGGGGGTGGCGTTTCCAAAACGGATGCTCTTACCCTTATATGCACAAACAGCGTGCATAAAAAAAAAATAAATGTATTTACACACAACTGTGCAAGTGTCATATGGGAAGCACTGTGCGTGGAATCACTTCCCGTTACATATGCCTCTCGTGAATTAAAAAAAAATTTTATGTTGTTCCTTTTTAGGGACGTATGCGTGTATATGCGATGATCTGTGCGTCCAGCGCGTAGGAATATATCTACGTCCGTTTATTGTTACCCCTCAAATGGGTAGCCACACACCGCTTTCATTTCTCTTGTTCGGTCGCATGCAAAGAAATGTGCACCCGAGGACATGTAAAAAGGGGTGTGTATTAGACTGAAGGGAGCATATCTCTGAAAAGAGAAGGCTCTACGTTTTCGCTTTCTTTTTTCTGTTAATGCGTTTCCCCTTTTCTTTTTCTTCTAAAAAAAAAAAAAAAAGTGTGCTGTTTTGTTCGTGCACATAACTCGCCCGTCCGTTATTTCGGCAAATCGTTTTTTTTTTTTTAAAAAAGAGGCAAGAGGAAACGCAGGGGGGGAAAGGCGCACCGTAGGTATGTAAACGTGTGCATATATACATATGCATATCTAACTACACGTGGGAGTATTTGGACGCATATACCCTCTCGTATGTGCGCGCAACAAAAATTGGGCATATGTGAACAAAGGCGAGCACTCAAAAAGTCGCTCTGCCGTTATCGGCATATGCAGCATATGCACTTAACAATATCCACGCATAATAAACAATTCTCTTAAAAAAATTGAAAAAAATTGAAAAAAAAAAATGAACGCATAAATAGGTAATATAAACAAAATTCAATCACCTTCGAGAGGGTGGTTTTCTAATGGCATGTTGATGATACACAATAGTGTTGTAACATGCGTATGGGGAGAATATATGATTCGGAGTTGTGTACGCAGTCACGCTTTCACGATTTTGCATTTCGCATACGGCATTTCGTGTGCTTCATATCGGAAGTTATGTGCTACGTGTATGCAACTGTACTGTACATATCCAATTAGGCATTTTCAGTAACCCACGAGGGCAGGAACAATCGCCACTTTGTGATGGAACAAACACCCGGGCGCCCCTTCCGCATAAATGCCCTCCATGAGATTTCCGCGCATACGTACATTGCATGCTCATTCACATAGGGACGACAATGTATATATAAATATATATATGTATATATATATAATATATTACATATGACCTACGAACAGCGCGCAAAAACTCGTTCGCCCAAATAAGCAGTTCAATTGAATGAGCGTAATTTTCTTTGCTCCTTTGAAATGGTTGAAAAGTGGCACTCGCTACTATTCAGTATTATATTGTATGCACGGCGCTATTGTACAAATGCAGTGGAAAATTATTTAAAAAGGTTAAATGGTTGAAATGGCCGAAATGGAATGAAGAAGCAAATGGAATGAAGAAGCAAATGGGATGAAAAGGCAGATGGAATGAAAAGGCAAATGGTATGAAAAGGCAAATGGGATGAAAAGGCATGTATCGAAAAAATAAAAATTCAGCCAAATGGCAATTTGCCGATATGGCCATATAACGCTGTAAAAAAATATATGACCATGAAATGGAAAAAAGAGAAAAAATATGAAAAGGAAAAAAGGAAAAAAAAAAAAAATACTACTTTTACATATGCTAGCATTAACACAAGGGTTATAAGCAGCGGGGGGAAAAAACCCTCTTTTTTCGCAAATTGGCAAAAATGGAAAAAGTTAAAAAAGTGATAATTGGCAAAATGGTAAAACTCGAAAGATGGGTAAAGTCGAAAAATGGGTAAAGCTACAAAATGATAAAAAGCTAAATCGCAAAATGCTGAAATGAAAGGCCCCCAAGTGGCCAAGAACGACATTGCCCACACGCGATAGGCACAAAAGTTCGAAAAATAAATAAAACGCCCAAATGAAAGGGAAGTAGTGGGGAAAAAAAACGACGCCCAAATGATTAGCGTATGCTATATGGGGGAAGAAAAAGAAAATAAAACTTCACAACGAAATGTATGTTCTATACGTATCACTGCTTACCAAAAGGTACATGCAAAAGGAGGTTTACAATTTTGGCAATTTCGCCACTTTCACCACTTTGGCCAATTCGACAGAAGGTAACTGTTTAACGAGTTAATGATCAGTTAAACAATAGGGATGAGAGGAGGTCAAAGAAAACAAAAGCAACGCAAGTGGAAAAATTTACTTAGAAGGTAGCAAACAAATCTTCCAAATGCTGTAATGGCGCGAAAAAAATTGCGAACGATTGAGAATACTTCGCGGCATAGAATGGCGAAGCGTGGTTATGCATAGTACACGTCACTACAGCACGGCAACACTTCACCACTACACCACTACAACACTACACTGCATCTGTACGCCACTACACACTGGCTTCCCCCTTTTTATATCTTCTCCTGCGCGCGAATCTTCCCCTCTGATCACCTTATGTTTGCATTCCCCTCTTTTCAATACATGTGGATATGCACATACACGCTTATATGTACACATGGCGTACACGCACTATGCGCCATGACTACAGCTTCCCAGCACCACTGCTTCCCCATCGCAAAGGTGTTTCCAAATGAACATGCGCGTAGGCTATGCATTCACCAATGGGATAGCGCAGGATGTTCCAAAGATTGGAAGCGTTAAACTCGGACGAGGGGGAGGTGCAAGTGGGGAGAAAATGCAAAAGCATTTGCATTGGATTAAATCACGTGTAACACGTTTAGCATGGCTTTATCTTAACAATGTGCCATGAAGGTCATTTGAAAAAATGAACACTTCTTTTCCCATGGTGTTACAAAAGGTGAAGAAATAAAAAAAAAAGATTTTCAAATCGGTATAGGAACATCTTCTACAATGACATACAACAGGGTTGCCTTTTTTTCAAAATTTAATCTTCACAAAGGCAGCACCTCAAAAGTGCTTCGCAAAATGTGAGAAAGGTGTCCAGAACGGGCCCTGCGCGGGGAATTGTTGATATGCATACAGAAGGTGAGAAAAAAAAAAGAAAAGTCAACAAACATGAAACATGAAACACCAAACATTAAACATAACATCATACATCCTATGCATGTCAAAAGGAAGCGCAGCGAGGTGTGCATCGTTCTAAACCACATCCGCACGGGGAAGCCGTCAATTTAGGCAATCTCACATATGGTCTTCAACACATTTGAAGAAATCACAACGAAGAAAAAAAAAAAAGTGACACGATCAAATGATGGCACAACGTGTGACACGATCTTATCCCCATGTGGCACGAATGCTACCTACTGCCTTATGCATATACCCCTGCAGGCATGCAAAAAAGGAAAGAAAAAAAAAAGAAAAAAAAACATCTGTGGCGTACAAATCCCGTCCTGCGCTACACCGTCTTCACAAATGAACGTGCACATTTTTAAGCACTTCATAAGTGCAAACGGGAAGAAAACGATTTAACACCACTTCGGGAGACTTCAAACGGAGGGATCATAATCGCAGCACACATTTCTGTATGCACCACTTGTTGCAAACACCCGTGCAGAGCTAAGTCAGTTACAAATTTTATGCTCCCTCTTGTTGGAAGATTCACTAGGTTTGGGTCACATGGCGATTACGTTCGAACTAATTCATCAGAGCTGTCAAGGCAGGTCGTGCGTATGACTTGGAGTGGCGATTTTTCCTCCTCATCCGATCTTCACTCTTCCGTTTCTCCTTCCTCTTTTCATCCCTACAGAAAAGAAAGTGGGTCTTTCCTTCTGCACAGCATCATCCCGAAAATGCCCCCCCATAAGGTGTAGAATTCTGGCCAACTGAAGCCTCCTCAACTTGGTGGCCAACCCGTGTAACACCAAAATGGCATTTAAAAAATGCGCACTGTGGGACCATTCTAGAGGTGCAGTTTTTACATCATCACAACAGGGGGATAGATTCAAACACAGGTGACACTTGCCACTTCCAAGTTGGCAAGGTGGGGGTGCAACCCTTTTTGTCGTTCCTTTTTTGTCGTTACTTTCTCTGCCCTTTAAAAAAAAAAATTCCGCTTCTTTTCACGCTCAATTAAGGAGGATAAAGAAGGTATATACAACGTGGCCCTTCTTCTGTCCCCCTGCATGACAAGCAACTATTTGCCTATTTGGTCATTCTAGAAGCGCGACATACGCGATGAACGCACACAAGCCTCTTAAGTGTTTCACAGGGAAAACTACGACGAGGTGAGAGACCCCCAGGGGGAGGGATCACAACTCCCAATTTGATGCCCCTTCTGTCGATTCGAACTCTTTTTATTATGTTTCCCCAGAAAGGGAACTTCCGTCCCCAAAGATAGTCTACTAGCAGAGCGAAAAACGTTATCAAAAAATATGCATTCCCTTCTCTCGCCCAATGTGGTAATGTGTCCCCCCCAAGAAACCATTTCGCTGCACCATGTTAGGGTTAGAAATATGTTTCTCCCCTTTAACAACTGAAATTTCTCCACCGTGTGCAACAGCAAAAGGAAGAATGTTTTACCTCGATCATCTTTGCAAAGTATCCTAAGCAACCACGTTACCGCGTGGTGTTAAACCTGTACAGATGATTATTTAAGATCCGTTTGGCATTTCTGTTCAGGGAGTCCCGTCTTGGTATTTCACTACCCGCCTCCCCATCTGCATCCCTTTGGCCTCCCAATGGAGAGAAAAATTTTGCATGCATCTTCGAATTGACCCTTTATAAGGACAGTCTCTGCCATCCTTCCAGGGCGATGCTTAAAAGTAGAACACTTTTTAACGAAGGACACAACCAGGTGTCTTCTGCTGCTCAAAAGTGAGCCCTACCGTTTGGGTGGAATGCCCAAACGGGGGGGTTCCAATTTGGATAAAGGGGGGCAAGTTAGAAGCGGTTAATAGAGGCACCACATAGGAGGGCGCATACGAATAGCAGCCCCCCAAAGGAGGGCAATTCTACAATTTGCATACAACAACACAGGGGAAGAAATATGCGAAGAAGCAAATGAGCTAATTAGGCCTCAGTGGTTCCGTCCAAACGACGCACATGAGAGGGAAAAAAAAAAAAAGTACCAATGAGGAATTTACACACAAAATTGCGCGTCCCTTCTTCCGTCCGAGACACATGCAAGCGGCCAACTGATATGACGGTCATAACCGTGATACAATATTGGAGAGCACTGGAAAAAAAAAAAAAAAAAAAAAGCCTCGTCAATCCAGCTTCCGCTTCTCCTTCGCCAGTTTGATATTCCTGAATAGTTCCCTGAAAAAGGTAACGGTGAAGGTAACGGAAAAAGTAACGCTAAAGGTAACGGTAACGGCGCGTGAGGAAGATTTATTTTGCGCCGGGGAACTTCTTTCTGGGGGGGGTGAAATGCGCTGAGATATTCGCACGCAAAGGGGATGCCCAACCTGAACAAGGAAAACGTGACCGGAATTGCATACGGAATGAGCACGGGGAGAAAGGAGGCCAGCAGGAAATCCTTCGAAAGGATGTCATAAATGGAGAACGTGTCGTCACTCAGGAGCTGCAAAGGAGGGAGCGAAATGGGGCAGGCGTTTCTCATGAGTGGCACATCAGTGCCGCGGAAGACCACACAAATGACGCGCCGCTGTCTGGCAACTCGGCAAACGAGTACACACACGGACAAGCAAAAAGAACACATAACAAAGGAGAAACACACACGAACAAAGGAGAAAAGACAAACGAACAAAGGAGAAAAGACAAACGAACAAAGGAGAAAAGACACACGAACACAGGAGAAAGACACACGAACAAAGGAGAGACACACACGAACAAACAAACACCACACACTTTTACGTGCACATGCAGGGGCCCACCTGCAAGGAATCCTGGTAAGCGCTCTGCGCCAGAACGACCGCCGCCCTGAAGTACCTTTCCCGCAGCCGCGCTGCCGCCACACGCCGATTATCCCCCTCCCCCGAGTGGCCATCTCCACTGGTGCCACCACCGTGCGGATGCAAGATCTCCCGAACGGACCTTCCGAATTGAAAGTCTCTGCAGCCGTCCGACCCGCGAATGAGATCTAAGCTGCATTTAACCTTGTCCAGGATGTCATTAAAAACATGCATGGCGTGCATGGGCACTCTAAAATAAATGCTCACATTCGATATGGAGACAAACTTCTCCACGTTTCTCAGCGTTTCCACCACATAGCAGGTGTATGCTTCTCGCATGAGGGCTAGAAGCTCAAAGGGGAAAATACCACTTCTCACAGGGATTTCATAGAAAAAGGAAAACCATAGTCTATCCTCCCTCCTGACGGAATACAAAAAAGAGCTGGCCTCATCGGTGGACTCACTTCGCAAATATTTTATATCATACTTGTCTGCATCGAAGATGGTATAGATGTAATCCGAAAAGTTTGGTGCTAGTCCCAAATATTGCCTCAAATGGGAAATGAAGAAGCCGCTGATCAGGGGGGCTTCCTCTGACACATTGGAATACTTTTTCTTCTGCTTTTTCGGCTGCTCTTTCTTCTGCTTTTTCGGCTGCTCTTTCGTCGGCTCTTTCGTCGGCTTCTCCTCCTCTTCCTTCCTCTCTGCGATGCCCCCCCGTTGGAGTGCATTATTTATGTGTACGACGCCCCACTCTGCAAACGAAACCGTCGTTTCTTCCTTCCCCGTGGCGGGATTATAAAAAAAGATTTCTTCTCCACTGGGGAAGACAGCCATCAGGTTGATGCTCTTCGGAATGTTATAAGTCGGCTTCTTCAGAATGTCGCCAAAAGTCACGTCATCAAAAAGTGTGGTGAATCTTGTTACCTTGTCGAGGATGATGACCCGCTTCCTTCCCACCTCCTTTGCCTTCTCCGAAATTTTAAACAAATCGATATTCGCAATGGTCTGTTTGTATACATTTATTTGAAACACGTTTAGAAGCTGCTCGATGAAGTTTCTCAAGTAGGGGTAATACACCTCAGTGTAGAAGTCCCAAGTGGCAACATTCACGGGGGGGAAAGAAGGAGAAGAAGCAGAAGAAGGAGTTCCCTCCACGTAGGAAGCATCTCTGTTTAGATCATCCCCATGTGGATCTCTCGATTCGTCACCAACTTTGTCTCTCCCCCCCTGAGCCGTGTTCCTCTTCCCTATTTTGTAATTTCCCTCGTTGTACAAACTGCTAGCCAAATAAAAGTTTAAGTCCAATTCGGGGTTAAAAAAAAGAGAACGATTTTTGGACTTAAAAAAAAAGACACGTTTTACTACCTTCCATGTTTCTTCTGCCAGCTGGTGATAGTGAGTGGTGGGGTCCTCTTCCTTTCGGCTGAACTTCACGTGCAGGTTGTTGCTCCTGTTCAGCGTGAAAACGACGCTGGTGTCGTCTTTCTCCTCGCGGTTGTCACTCAAACATATGAAGTAACTATTGTTTAGCATATTATGGAGGGCACCTTTCTCGGGGGAGCTACTCAAGCATACATTTGCAGGCATCCCCGTGTCATCACTTCTGATTTCATCTCCACGGATGATGATTGGTTTGACGTAAAACAAATCCTGCACATCGGAGATGCTCTCTGCAGCTGGTTTATCTTTGCATTCAAGATCCATTTGGCTGGAAAAATATTCCTTCATTTTTGTCCCCAACGAATCACTGCTTCCTTCTCCACTGCTCGATACGATAAACAGTTTTATGCCCAAGTGGGAGACCTTCTCATAGGACCCGTCTTGTTTTCCCCCCTTTGCCTTCTCCCTCTTGGTTGCATTGTAAACCTCCTGCACCAACGAAGAGGTGCTTCTCAGTTTCTCCAGCGGCACCCCTTGCCTCTCATACTTGTTCAGGCAAAAAATCACCACCACGCACACCACCAGCGACACTGCGTAGAATATCACACAGGGCGTTCTGGAATTCATCTTCGTCTCGCGGGGGGTCAGGCGGCTGCAGATTTACGCTGCTTCGTGCAGAGGGATGACAGATGGGTGGAGCTTCTCCCGGAGATGGATTGCAGATAGGCCATGTCGCTGCTTCGCCGCGTGGCCGCTTCTCCTCTACACCGCCTTCCCGTTTCGCTTTTCCCCCAACTGGGCCTTAAAAGTGACAAGTCAAGATGCACTCACCATAGCGGCTGATCTGTGCATGACCCCGGGAATACGCTCGTGCAGTGGCGGGGGCTATAAAGGGAAGGCACCAGATAGCAACGCACTTATGCATCGTCCACTCTTTCCAAATAGGAAGTTACTACTTTTTGCAGTTCATCGGGAGCATTGCCTGTTTGAGGAAGCTCCACTGCAGATTCAGATGATTTTCCTGCACGTGTGTTGATAATACTCCTGTGTAGCTTGTCCCTTTATGTTCTCCTTGTTAAAGAAGGAGCGAGGGAGGGGCAAAGAAAAAAAAAAAATCGCCTCGAAATGGTTACCCGTTTTGCCTTAACGCAGTGAGGAAGTAGACCTGATCGCGTACACATCAACCCACGTGCTATATGCTCTATTCCTCTGCAGGCACATGCATTAGTGTACCGCGTGCACTAGTGCCCCCCCTACTGATCAAGTGATGGTGCGCGCGATTTTTCCAAACGGCCGTAGAATTTTCTTTTCCAAAAGGAGATTTGCCTACACGAGGGGGGTGGCTCTTAAAAACAGCGCAGCGTCATATTGATTTCCTTCTTCCCTCCAGCTCCACTCGTTGGGTCGGGCACGTCCTTCCATCCAGACGACTTCACCGCTTCGAAGAGCTTTAAGTGGGGGGACGGGCAAGCCGCCATTTCTGCATGTCTCCCGGGGGAAGACGCAACAAACGATTTAACACAATTACACTCGTAGAACTCCCTCAATTGCGAATGTACACATCCGTGCGGAGTTATAACGGACGTGCTCACTTCCTATGGACTGCTACCCACCAGAGGGCATACTTCTCTTCGCCCCCTTTGCCCCAGAAAAAGGCCCTCACCCAGGACGATCCACTTGGTTTACACAAAAGAGGAGACCCCATCGACGTT